TATTGATTAAGTATTATGATTTTATAGATTAAATATTATGATTTGATTTTATATATTAATTAAGAGAAATCAACAATACAACAATAATGTTTTCTGCAGAATTTTTCCGAAATCCTAAATATGTTCATTTGCTCATTTTCGCATACTTCATTTCATTAATACGCTGATTTCTTACACACAAAGAACTTTGAAAACGTTATGCGCATTGATTATCGAAATTAGAAAGAATGATTGAAATCAAAAAGTGAACGCGTTTATTCAATAATAACAGTAATAATAATAATAATAATAATAGTAACGAGCAATAGCGTACAATAAAAGTAAATAATTTTAGAATAGTTAATAATAATGCTATTATTATTATTATTATTATTATTATTATTATTATTATTATTATTATTATTATTATTATTATTATTATTTATAAATATGATATTTCGAAATAAGGTATACTTTTATATTTGGAAAACAAGATCTTATAGTCTATAATGTTAAAAAAAGAAAACGCAATTAATGCAATGAATTTGTATGCAAATAATATCATTCTCTTTTTTTTTCGCCATTCATTGCACGAAAAAAGTATGTCTTATTGTTAGATCGATCATAACTATCATGTATCTATAATGTATCTATAATGTATCTATAATGTATCTATAACGCATCTTTCATGTATGTAATTTCTTTTGACGGCTTATGTTGTCCAAATAAGACAACATAAGAATCTGGCACGTTCTATATAAAGTGTACAATGATGTTTACTTATTTAGCATAGTCATTTGTAAATTATCTTTTCGCATCGCGTCGCATAAATTGTGATTTTTTTTCTAATATAAAGGTAATAATTAAGCAATAATGAAATAAGAATGATTTATCGAAGTTAGAAGATCCAGTTGTTTCTTTCGAGTTATAGAATGTGAAACCCGAGGATCTAGATCGTGTTATCAAACGTTAGACGACAGGATGAAACTTGTTCCAACAATTAACGCGAAAATGCTTGATATCATTAACTTTTGTTCATTGAGGTATATAAAATGTAATAATGCAATCATTATGATTTTAATAATCGTATGCAGTGTGAAATAATAACGGTTTGTAATTTATCCGTTATTGTTAAAATTTTTATCAAATAGTTGTAGAATTGTATAGTTATATGTTCAAACATGTACCTATCGTGACTGAAGTTGACGCCCGGCAGAAGTTGACTGGAATTAGCCCCTGAAATTACACGCATTAGTAAGAAATTTTAGATGGTCGGGCGAGTTTTAGGGTTACCTTTTTGATGTTATTAGGGTGAGTGGGTTATATAGATATCAATAATGTAATTTATGCAGTATGTAGATCATATATTGAATTTTAGCCGACCCAAATTTTAGGAAATTGCAACTTCAATCGGGTGTCAACTTCAGTCACGACATACAAGGATTATGAGTGAGTCAGTCGCATATCACAAGGATATAACAGATAATCGGAGAAGATTGCATACTACTTATGTATATTATGTATACTTTTTGCTGACCACATACGTACCAATTTATTCATTTATCGTCAATTCAATACCATTTTAGAGATATTTAGATATATCGTGGCATTTAAATGTACAACTTTTATTATATAAATATATATTATATATATTTCTCATATATTACATATAAATATATATTTATTTATTTGTTGAACGCGTGATAAATAAAAATTCGTTTAGTTTGTCTTTTTATGCAATATGGTCACAATTAACTTATACACGCGGGGATATGCTTTATTCATTTCATTCATTTACAAGTCATGAGGTCAACATCAATAGTTATATTGAAGTACATAAAATTCTTTGCGTTTATTACTTTTTATAATTCTAGATTTCATTAGAATTCATTTCATTGAGTTTGACTAACTTTTTTCTTTTGATATTGCCTTGCCTATAGTGCATAAGATTAAAAAAATTCAGCATAAATGGTATTACAATATTAATAATTCAAAAAAAAAAAGTTGGAATTAAATGTGTGTTACTTAGTACCCTTTTAGAACATGCTTTGGAAAAAAAAAAAGTTGAAATTAATGTACATTACTTAATACAAATCCCTTTTAGAACACGCTTTGTTTTTTTTTCTTTTAAACAAATAAAAAAAAAAAAAAAAAAAAAAAAGTATAAAAACTGGCTTAGGTTTCGATGATCCCCTTTATCAGTTCTTTTGGACTTGATTTAAATACATGTAAATTCTTTCACTTCAAGTCATCTATTACTTATATCTTGTTTTTCAAGAGTCTCTTCATATCTTTCCTTTCAAAAATTTAAAGCATATCTATTATTATATAAGAGTCTTACGATATAAAAGCCTCGTTATATAAAAGCTTCATTGTATAAAAGCTTCATTTGGTTTCATTTCGTTTCTCCTCATCACTTCTATCATCTCCTTTATCTTGTCATCTCTCCTTTGTCATCTCTTTTGTCATCTTTCTTATCATATTGCTTTTATCGTCTCTTTTATTGAAATGTTCAAAGTGAAAATTTCTAATCGTCAATTCGACGCTCGTGGTGCTATATTTAATCAAGCTTATCGTTATGACTATCGTTACGGCAATAATTACGAAAATCGTTACAATCATCGTTCTTCAAAAAGTTCTTACCCGAGTCCTAACTCTTCTGATACGGATAATATGAAACTTCCATTTGATAATTCTTCTATTAAACAACCTGATCCAAATATCATTAAACAAGTCATCGACGAACTTGATCCTATTACTCTTGCAAAAATTCAACAGCAAATCTCTCTCCAGATCGAAGACCTTATACGTCCTGCTCGTAAAGTACGCAAATCTGGTGTCCCTCGTCCACAAAATTTATTCGTCATCTTTCGTAAAGATTATCAAGCAAGATTAATAAAGAAAGGTCATGATGTCGGTGCGCTTTTAGCACTTGTTTCAAAAGAAGCTTCTGAACAATGGAAAATTGTGGATCAGTCTATCAAAGACATTTATGATGTAATTGCTAATATGGCAAGAAAAGTACACGAAAGAACTTATCCTGATTATGTCTATAAGCCAAAAAAACGTCCTCAGAAATCTACCTTGAACCGTACTTTCGGTCCTAACTTACTCAGTCAACATAATTATCAACATAATTATCAACATAGTTCTTTTTCTCTATATAATAATTCCAACAATTATGATAACAGTTATGCAAACTGTTGTATTGACAGTTGTGTTAATAGTTGCATTGATGGTTGCGATAACAGTTATGCTAACAGTTATGCTAACAGTTATGCTAACAGTCATGCTAACAGTTATGCTAACAGTTATGCTGACAGTTATGCTGACAGTTATGCTGACAGTCATGCTGACAGTCATGCTAACAGTAGTTGCGCAAACGGTTGCGCAAACAACAGTTTTGCTACACCGTCGATCAATTTTACCAGCTTTAGTAAGAATCAAAACATAGTTCCTCCGTCTCCTTCAACGACTTCTCAATCTTCAACAAGTCCAAAATTAGACCATTTATCTTGGAATTATGGTATAAATTCATCAAAGAAAAATCACGTTGATGATGGAACTTCTTTATCTCCTCTTCATGTCTTGTCCGTTTCTTCTACAGACAATTATGATAAGAGAATGTGTAGGTCATTCGGCGGTCCACTTTAATTGAGGTTAGTGTTCACCACATGCCGACACAAGAACTCATTCTTTAGAATTTTATCATTCAATTAAATTATTCAATGAATTTATTGTTTTTTATGCTTTTTATCGATTAATCGAGAAAAAAAATTTATTTTATGTGTGCAACTAAATGACACTTTTGTTTTATGCAACTTTTTTTATGCACGCTATCAATTAGGTTCATTTATGTTAAGCACGAATTTTATTATTACAATTATTTATTCTTATGCACTTTTTCATTTTATTTATTCTTATGCACTTTTTCATTTTATTTATTCTTATGCACTTTTTCATTTTATTTATTCTTATGCACTTTTTCATTTTATTTATTCTTACGTATGCACTTTTTCATATTCTTTATATTCTTTGTTATGCTTTCTATTCCTTTAATTTACATATAACATTTTTAATCTAAGTTAAATCTATGGTTTTTAATTTTCAATTTGTTTTTTCTTTTGATATGACTTACAAGAACTCTTTAACTTGGCATCAAGGATGTTTAATCGGTGTACAATATTTTTATTTATTTATTTATTTATTTTTATTTATTTTATTTTTATTTTATTTTTATTTTATTTTATTTGAACCGATTTGATAACTCTTAATAAAACGTATGTACAATGATTATTCGTAAGTTTATAATTATTATTGTTTCTCGCCTACGTACCATATCCAAGATTATCTGAGTTAATATGTTGAATATGTTAATTGACGAATATGTATCTCTAACTGTGCCAAAGAAGCTATTCCTTTTTTTAGTTTTTCTTACTATATGAAATTTGATACTCGTATATTTTTGGTTATCCGTGTAAATAAATGCTGCTTTGTCAATTTAATTTCTAATTAATGTATTAATAAAATTTTTTAACTAAAATTTTGGTCCGGATATATGTACATATCAAATATGCATATGTGCATTTTGTACGTACTGTAGATATCTGATATGCAGGCCTACCGAATAATTGATTGGGGGCAATTAATTGCAATATTTCGAACTCAATTAATTGATTGATGGCGCAGTCATAATTGGTCAATTAATTGCAA